GGGGGCCCCCCCCCCCCCCCCCCCCCCCCAACCCTCTTTCTTCGTCGGTTCTGTTTCGAATTCATCGGGATATATGAAATCTTAATATTCATTAAAATTGATGATTATTCATACAGAGGACATCATCTACATATTACCGATAAGTAAAAATAGGCTTAGCTCTGTGATGTAGTTGATAGAAGTGATTAGCGTCCACCGTCTTATTAATAGTTTCTATATAATATTAATTTATAACTTTATAACTGTGATATTTGGTAATATAGTTGATAAAAGGGGTTAGTGTCCACTGTCTTATAAAAAGTTTCTATATATATTAATTTATAACTTTATAACTGTGATATTTGGTAATATAGTTGATAGAAGTGATTAGCGTCCACCGTCTTATTAATAGTTTCTATATAATATTAATTTATAACTTTATAACTGTGATATTTGGTAATATAGTTGATAGAAGGGGTTAGTGTCCACCGTCTTATTAATAGTTTCTATATAATATTAATTTATAACTTTATAACTGTGATATTTGGTAATGTAGTTGATAGAAGTGATTAGCGTCCACCGTCTTATTAATAGTTTCTATATATATTACTTTATAACTTTATAACTGTGATATTTAGTAATATAGTTGATAGAAGTAGTTAGCGTCCATTGTCTTACTAATAGTTTCTTTATATATTAATTTATAACTTTATAACTGTGATATTTAGTAATATGGTTGATAGAAGTAGTTAGTGTCCACTGTCTTATAAATAGTTTCTATATATATTAATTTATAACTTTATAACTGTGATATTTGGTAATGTAGTTGATAGAAGTGGTTAGCGTCCACTGTCTTATAAAAAGTTTCTATGTATATTAATTTATAACTTTATAACTGTGATATTCGGTAATATAGTTGATAGAAGGGGTTAGCGTCCACTGTCTTATTAATAGTTTCTATATATATTAATTTATAACTTTATAACTGTGATATTTGGTAATATAGTTCATAGAAGGGGTTAGCGTCCACTGTCTTATTAATAGTTTCTATATTAATTTATAACTTTATAACTGTGATATTAGGTAATATAGTTGAGAGAAGTGGTTAGCGTCCACTGTCTTATAAATAGTTTCTATATATATTAATTTATAACTTTATAACTGTGATATTAGGTAATATAGTTGAGAGAAGTGGTTAGCGTCCACTGTCTTATAAATAGTTTCTATATATATTAATTTATAACTTTATAACTGTGATATTAGGTAATATAGTTGATAGAAGTGGTTAGTGTCCACTGTCTTATAAATAGTTTCTATATATATTAATTTATAACTTTATAACTGTGATATTTGGTAATATAGTTGAGAGAAGTGGTTAGCGTCCACTGTCTTATAAAAAGTTTCTATATATATATTAATTTATAACTTTATAACCGTGATATTTGGTAATATAGTTGATAGAAGTGTTTAGCGTCCACTGTCTTATAAAAATTCCCACTTATTTATGGAATAAAAGGTATCGATACACGACGTCGCGATACGATACGCGTATCATGGCATGTCATATCCCGTTACATCGATACATCTATTCACCGATATATTGTGCCAGTACTAACGTTACCAATCTTCTTAAGTAGCGACTCAATGCCATAAACCGACATCAGACCTAGAGAGTAAAAACGTTTTACTCAATTTTATTGTAATACATCGATATCATTTGTTGATATGGATTTCGGGTTTTGCGGTTTACTTATTATGTTACATTATCTTTCAAGATTTGACATCAAAGTTTTGATCAATGTGAAGTTATCTCCCTTGAGTTCTAAAAATGTAAGATAATGTCAAATCCTGAAAGGAAGAAAATGTAAATAAATAGTCGTTTGAATCAGTGGCGGCGCCATCAATCACTCCCCCCCCCCCCCCCACCTCTTCTCCTTCAAAATATGGTTTGTATCCCCACATTTACCCCAAATTCATTTTTTTACAATTCGAAAATTTGATTTACTTACGTATTACCCAAACATATGTCGGAATGCACCACATCAATTCAATTCTTAATATTTTTCTCGGAGACAATCCTTTTAGACTCTCCATGGGATGTTTGCGCTATACTGAATCGCTATATAATCGCTTTTTAAAATCAATATTATATCAAACCAGTATTATAATAGTAGGCTATTTCTTGAAATCTTGATATTTTTTGTTTGGCAGTTAAAAATTCCCTTTTTACCTAATGCGAAAGCCTTTTCTAATATTATCGGACTAAATAGAAGATGACTAGATTGGGTAGCAAGGTTCGGACTATTTAAAGACTGGATATTGAAGACCAACGTAGTCGAGGTCACTCAGCCACTCTATACCCTGCTAAACCTTATCGTCTGCCCAGTTGATCTCGACGAAAGTAATCGTGGTTGGTGAAATGAAAACGAAGTTGACAGATTAAGTGGATGATTTCTTTGATGGAAGGAATTTGTATGAATGAGGCTGATCTGAGAAACACTAACATACGTCACTGGAACAGGTACTGTCATGCATGATCCTAGATATATACTGCTCGAACAAGCCCCATTATATAATTGTAAAAAATGGTGTCTCGGTTTTCCATCCTCCCATGCACGGCAATTGGCCATTCGTGAGTATAAATACGAGGAAGGTTATGGGGAATTAACTTGTCATCTACCTACCTGGGGAATTAACGGTAACTTGTCATCTACCTACCTACCTACCTGGGGAATTAATATTTCTGTATCAAGTTTAATATAATTTGGCAGACAGAATGAGTTTACTGGTATTTATTATTAATGATACATTGAAATACCAAATTTGAATTGGCTAAATGTCCATCAATCATCATCCACACTCTGCATATGATATGCATGATCCTGGATGTAAGGGTTTGGTTGAGCATTTGTAACAGATTTAAATGCATAAGTTACTTGTGTGACATTAAAGTTCTTTTCAACTTTCCCTCACGGTACTTGTTCGCTATCGGACTCGTGCAAGTGACTTCTAATAGGCCAGGTTTAGGTTTAGAGTTTACAGTATTACTAGGTTGTAGATAAATAAGACAATTATATGGATATATACTTCTGGAATATTTATTACCGTACTTCAAAGTTTCAATGTGGTTGTTTGTTTAACCTACATCTGGTATGACGCATCATATGTGACTGGAATAAGCCTATAATAAGGGGTAGCCTATCTAAATTAAAATTACTCTCTGGCTACACTGTTTTCTGAATTGAAATTATTGGCAATTATCATTTTCACGTGAATTTTCAGAGAGGAAAAACTGGACCTTATATTTCTATGGGCCAAAAACATTTAAAGACAAATGGTATACAGTTGAAAATTTTATTTTGAATATTTATGAAATGAGAGAAAAATTTCAATTCAAAGCTCAATGTAGGCCTTGTGAGAGTGTAGCTTACAATTTTCTGATTTTTTCCTAAATCAATTGTAATCTAACAAGTTATCTTGAATTTGTATTTTAGACCATGAAGAGGAATGATAAATGTTTGATGCTGGACTCGAATAATATCTGTCTCATCAAATGGAAAGATGTCAACGACACGCTGAAGACAGATGGGCCTACACAATCATTGAAAACAGCAAAATTAGCATTTAAAGAGACACTTTTAAAAAATACCACTGTGTTCATGAACAGTTATGATGGAGCTAAGAGATGGATGTGTATGTATTAACACAGATTTGGTAGTTTATGGTCAAATTATCGAACACTGCACAAAATAGTGAAGTATTATGAACTGTTTTGGTCTAGAGAGGCCATGAGCGTGACAACAAATTATTTGTGTGGTATTACAGTGATATTCCCTGATTATCACAAATTCTGCTTTTACAGATAAACTACTAATTTATGTTGACGATAGACTCGGTTCAAGTTTTTGGCGGCTTTATTAAACTTACATAATACAATACAAATTTGCTTTTGAACTTGACCACATGTACTTGTGATATTTTTTAACTGTGATACATAGGCTACATTAAGTACCTTCTTGCCTACACATAGACCGAGTCTGTAAAGTTATTGGAATATGAATTAGAATTGAAACTGTTATACATCATTACAGTATAATGGGAGGCCAATTGCAGAAACTGACCACTATAGAGTACACCGTCAATGAAAGAAACAATCAGATTTTATCCATCCTGGCAGAAGAGTTAATTAAGAAGGGAAATTTATCAGGATTAAAAAAACTCTTGCGGAAGAGCACCGAGATCACTTTTCGTCAAGGAACGACGTTACTCCATATAGCTTCGCTACATCAACAAATAGCATGTTTAAAATACCTCCTTGACAAAAGAGTTGTGTGTGTCAACGCTGAAGACAATTCTTGTGAAACTGCTTTAAGCAGTAGTCTTGTGAATCCAGTTTCTTACGAATGTTCTGATCTTCTGATTTCAGCTGGTGTTAATATCAACCTGAAGAATAAATGGTTACGAACTCCATTGTTGAAGTGTATTATTGATCAGAATGAACTTAATGTGTTGTATTTATTAGATAAGGGAGCTAATCCTAATACAGAAGACTGTATGGGTTGTACACCTTTAAATCAGAGTGTTTATTATCATTTATATCGTACATTCAACCGACTGTTAGACACTGGTGTTGATATTAACTATGTCAATAGGAATGGATTGAGTGCACTGTATTTTGGGTGTAAATCTTTGAATAAAACCTGTGTTAGAAAGCTGATAGATCTTGGTTCTGAAGTCAACATGGCTCTAATAGAGAAACTCGTTCAAATGTCTGTAGAACCAGAAAAGTGTGACAAGTTTGAAGTCATATTCCATCTGATTATCAGTGCTCTCGGCCAGCCTTTAACGATCCGAACTTGGGTACAATGTCTGCCATCTTCAATCAAGAATGACAGTATGTGTAGACTGTGTCTAGCTGCAACTAATTTCACTACCGGCTTCTGTCAATTTTTTGAAACAACAGATTTTTGGAAGAATCATGTCCAAGACAATTATCATTCCCTAAAATTCTATTCCATGGTGCCATCGTTAAAACATCTGTGTAGATTAAGTGTAAGAAGCCTACTGACACAGTCTGGGGGTAATGTGATATATAAAATAAGATATTTAGATGTCCCCCCAGGGCTGAAGTCTATGATATTGTTACAGGATGTGATCTAGGCGCTCAGGGGTGTTAATAGGGGTGGGACTGGACTGATTTTAGTTTTCATTGGTCAATCACTGAATCAATTTTAGAATTTAAAGTTTGTCTTTCAACATGAATTAAAGTCTTGAAAACTTAAGTACTGCAAACTGCAAGTAGGAAAATTGTATGCAAAGGTAATACTTATAGCAATTTATTTTTTTAGTTTTTTAAACTGAAATCAGTCTTAGTAACTTTGTTTTGATAAAAAAAATAAAAACATGAGCATACATTATCACGTGTGTGATCAAATGGTTTTACAGAGGAGAATTTTCAGTCATAATTTGGAATGAAATGTAAGAGTTGAATTATATTGAAGGGAAGTGTGTTTCTAATCAATATAAGATATTACAAATTTATATGTTTATCAATGCAAAGTGATTTTAAGATTACCAGTATTGATTTGAAACTGATATTCAATTTCACGTTTAACAAGTAGGCAATATTCAAAACAAAAAACATTGTGATCCAGGATTAAAGATAATTTTCATCTGTGTACTTGTGAACTAAGTGAAAATTAAGTCCAATCTTCATAATGGCTTCTGAGCGCCTAATTTAAGCATTTTAAAATCTTATAAAAGATATTGTTAATTTGAATTTTTATGATAAAAGAATTTTAATGTTGATATGATTATATTTTTCCTCAGGGGTATAAAATGAATGTGAACTTGCTCACCACTGTTACACATCCATTGATTAATGTGTACACATCAAGTTTGGCAAAGACGTGTTCAGATGTCTGCCTTATTTCCGTACGTCCACATTATGTTTTTTTGCTTTACTCCTATCTACCTGGATGTTAGTCCGTACATGGAAAATAAACTGCAGCTTCGTTTGGATTTGCAGGAAACTTGGTGTATAATGGAGGGATCTTGAACGAATTTGATAGACGGGCTTGAGGCTGGCCCGGTTTCCCCCAATCCCCCCTCCCTTATTTTTCATTTTCTTATATTACAAAGAGTATTTTCGGAATTGGACGGTACCTCGTTGCATTTATAGCATATGTTTCAAAATGAAAACAAGTAACATTAAATTATTTAAATAGATGTACAGGTTGACCCTGATTGAGTAACATTTATCCCCTCCCAAATCCCCACCATGTAATCCTCGCTATGCCACTATCAAAGAGCAGCTAGATGTACAGGCTGATCCTGATTGAGTAATCTCTGGACTTGTTCGGACTCTAATCGTTCTTTCTCTAGTAATATATTATAACTTTCTTTAATTCCTTCCAATATTCTTTTATTCTTAATTAATGGCCGTAGTGGTTCCCGCCATCTTCGATTTCTTTCTTTACCTGAAATAGCAAGGGAAAGACTTCCGGAAACTGTCGAGGATTTCCGTATTCCCCATCCCAGACTATTTCTAACTGATGAGACGTACGTATTTCTGTTCCAAACCAACAGCACGGAAGCACCCAATTCATCAAATCCAACTACCAACTACTATGACGACCAACAGCTCTCCAGTTTGCGATATCAGCATCCGCTGGAAGCGAACGTTAACTTGTCATCAACCTACTTAGTCTGTGATATCAGCATTCGCTGAAGCGAACGCGAATCTGTCATCTACCAGCCAACCTACTAAAATCTTACCTTTATGGAATGTACCCTCTCGATCTGAGATGTCTTCATCCATATACGTGAGCTTAATCAAACCTTTCTTGGGAACGGTTGTCATTGGTAACATAACTTCTGCCATATTCTGTCCTATACAATCTAGTTTAGGTTGTTTATTCAGTAAAAACACCTGCGATTTCTGGAAAAATAATTACAATTTTAGTTAAGGTTGAATTGTGGAACACTAATAATTTTCTATCATCAAAAATAAAAGGCCAGGCTTCAGCCCAGCACATCCTTTTTCAATACGGCCAAATCTCGTACATATTGCAGCACGGTATGAAAAATGTTTAAGATTCATCCGCACATACGAAACTATTTGGGAAAGTAAGGAGTCCACAATACAATACATTTAACGCATATAATTATTATTAATCCTAATTTTGTCATTCTTTGAACGTGTTAAATAAAGAATTCTTTATCAGTTTACGAGAGTTGAATTCTGTTCCAATGAAATTTAGATCCCGAGTTACTGAACCGTAGTACTGCCACTGTCACCTGGTATTGGCGTATATACGTACCTCTCGTGTTATTCTAGTTGGACTGATGACATCATTTGGTGATCTTGGTGACGCATTTCCGGGATTCATCTGATAAATAAAAATCATCTATTTGAATTTCATGTTACATGCATAACAACAAATAACGTAATGTTTTTTTTACTGCAACCTATTACCTAATTTGAAAGTCTTTATAAATAACTATCAGAGACTTGAATAGAGGCAGATAATGTGGTCTACCATTTTGAAAAATATCCGATTTTGAAGGTATGTTTTTTTCCATTTTTTTTTTCTGTGGGCTACTTGCCTTGCCTTAAATTCGCTTTCGGTGTCTGATCATTCATTCATAAATTATCTTAGTTAAGATCACTCGTTCCGTCTTTATAATCTCAACATGTCGTCTATATTATTTTATTACTTACAATGAACCAAGATTGAAGATCCCGGACCGAGCATGCGTCGCATTGTCTGGAAGCTGATGATGTACAGGGTATGGTCGTTTTGCTCCTCGTAAGTGCTAGTCGAGGTTTAGATATTGGTCTGTATGGTCTCCAAGAGTCGACTGACGTTCCTCTATCAGACCCATGCTTCAGGAAACCAAGGTTAAAATCTTGAAGTGTTGTATCACGAGGTAATTTTGAGATTCCATCCAATCTGAGTGACGAGTGATCAGTACTGGCTGAATTAAACCGACGATACTCAGAGTGGTTTGGTTTTGATTGCCGTTCTGTGTTCTTTAGATGGTCTATATATTTACCATTAGCTCTTGATTGTTGTCCCGAACGGCGGCCATTGTTCCCAGAATCGTGATCAAACTGGCGAGCATAATTTATGGAGCGACGATCCAGGTATCCGGACTGAGCAGAATAATTGTCGAGATGTGATTGGACGTCTGGTAGATCCGAATGGTTACCAACAATACCGGTACATCCGGCAACAGAACATTTCTGACCTGTTCGAGCATGTTCAATAGGAACATCCGCTGAAGGTCGTCTAGAATCGCCATCTTTGTCATTGACTCTTCGTACTAAAATCTTCATTGAGTTTGTGAAGAGCGAGTCCAGCTTGCCCTCTGACATCGTATCAGAACTTTTATAGGAAAAATCCGACACGGCTGACGGCGCTGTTTGAATTGAAGGACGATCTGTTGGTGGTTTAGACGTCTGAACCTCTTTCTCACAAACTTCAACATCCGCCATTTCGAAGTGTTACGTTCTTTGAATGTTATGAAGGTTACTTTGCTGAGAGTTCAGATTCGATATCACTTATACTAATTCTGGAGATTTCAGATTATCGTCTGCTCTGATAGAATCCGCCAGTTATCACCTCCATACTAGTCCATGTATATTCCATTATATTCTAATTTCTGAATGTTCACAAATTATAAATCAACACCTGCACCAGGGGTGTATTAAACATTTCCCAGTCAAGAGTATGTTCTATATTGAGTGAGCCCGTGAGGTATAATATTAAGTTTAATATTTGAATTTAAGAAAGATAAAGGGTTGGTTGTTATAATTGGGATCATGTTTCTGTTGGTGTTAGTTCACCTATTGATTATAGTTAAAATCAATCACTCTGATCAATTGATCCACAGGCATCCGTTATGTTTGTATACTTTATTTACAATGGTGGTGTGGGTCACAAGAACTTTTACAACAGAAATGTGAAGGGGTGGCCGTGAGAGAGATAGTGCACTAGTGCATGTCTTTTAAATTCATGCTGCTGTAGTAGTTCCATCATTCCATTTGGCATCAGAATTTATTCTTACCACTCTATATTAATGTACGGGTTTGGGTAAGAATTAGGTCTGTGAGACTTCAGAATAAAAAGCTCACCATTTGCTTCCCATGGAAACTGACTGAAAGGTTCGCGTTTGTGAAGTTTTTGGATGTGAACAAGGCTTGAAGCCAATTGTTCCGAGGTTTTCTGTTGCCACATGTACTCCAAACATTGAAATCGTTTCATTGACTTACTGCATATTTTAGAATAAAACATCCATATATATCTATAGAAGCAACGTCATTTTTCCATGTCTTCAAAGTGTTTTATACAAGTTTGCACTGAGGTGATCTAACGAATGCCTGTGTAATATCGATAAGATATTAAAATACTATGCGTGTATGTAATATGATCTATATAGATAAAGAATACAGATAATTGATTGAATACCGTCTTTATAAACTAGTCTTTAGAAATACACAGGATATAGTATCAATATCTGACTTAAATCTTCAATAGACGTTTCAATGAATGAATCCTCTCTTCACATGTATTATTAAATGTTATAATGGAGAATTCATTTTGTTTGTGTTTATTTTCTTTGATGCTGTATGCATGAAGTAGAAATCGATTAAGTCAAATGTCAACAGCAAATTATGTAAAGAAGAATTGCTTTGAAGTTATGTATAAATCGAAATTAAGGGCAACAACTCATGCATTTCTCTCTTGATACCTTGGGCGTACAACGAACCTATCTTCAATTTCTTCTGATTTTTCCTTGCTGTTCTGGACCCCGTTCCCTGCTTCACAACTATCTCCGAATTCTCTTCACGTTTTTTCCCTACCACATTTACTATTCATAGGCATTCCATATACTCTTGACTTTGCCTACTCAATGGTTCGCAGTTCGGTAGTAAGGTGAATGATCTTAACACACAATCCTCCATTGAATCACACAGAAAATCACACAGACATACACACACTTTTCAAATATTAATGTCATTTAACATAAGGAAAGAATTGCCCGTGATCACCCCTTGACGATGTGGTCCCAGCTCGCCCAGCTCGCCCCTCAAGTGATATGAGTGCGTTGGTATCGAAAACAGGTCTTGTGAATAGAGACAGTAGTTCTTGTAACGGAAAGTACTATTAAGTCTTTGACTTATCTAAGTGTCCGTCTATTCATTTTGATTTAAATCCAAATTTCATCTGGAAGCCACAAGAACATTCCTCGAATAATTCCCCATTACAGACTACAGGGCATGAGCGGTTTTCATAGACTTAATCACCTATTCAATTTGGTAGCCTACTATTCATTATATTAAATCATTTGCACATAATTCCTGCTGCAAGAGTGGGTTAATGACCTTGTCCCAGAAAAATTCCCTCATTGCACACTGCATGGAATGTGCCGTAATCAGTAAAACACCTAAACCTCCACTTCAATTCATTTCTGTAGCCCACAGTTTATTGAAGATTTGCAAACTTTAGACCTTACTATAATATGCAAGTGTGTGTTGAACTTGACTTATCTATATTGACTAGGTATAAGCTATAAAGTCGATATTAAATATATTATTTGATAGTACCAGTATATATTTATTACTTAAACAGAAAAATAAATACTATTTAATAGTTTTTATCGAACGTGAAAATCAAATACGGGCTAAATATCACGAGATTAAGCCTTAATCCTATACAGTATTATGACGTCACAGTAGATACGGCGCGAAGTTGCATAACGTTCCCTAGAAACGGAGTACAAGGCGAAGGTTAAGAGAGACATACGTTCAGTTGTTAACAGTTTTGTTTTAATATTTGATAAGTTTCAAGTCAGTTAGATTAATTTCAACATGCAACAAAGGGAAGAAACCAGTTTTCTACCAAAGGATCCCTACCATACACCTGGGTACGTTTATTTTCTACATTTTATTTCAGTTTTAAATTGTCGTTGAATTTGCACAGAGACAATTCCATATTAGTTTAGTTTAGGATCTTTTGTTTTTACTTTTGTCACCCGAGGATTGAATATATTCAGAAAACCCAAGTGTTGTGCATCTTAGCATTTTTGTATCCTTTGATCCTGCAAGTTTTATTATTTAGGCTATTTCGTTCCAAGCTTTACATAAATATAATATTCCATCTTCATTAGCCCACATGATGCATAAAAGTAGAACGTAAAACGCCATTCATTTCATTTTCGTTTCCTAGCTTTACTCAACGATGTCACTCTTATTGTCTTAAAATACACTATTAGATAAGTATTTGTTTGTTAGCCTATATTACCCGTCCTGCATAATAACTGGATATATACCTATATTATCTTAAAGCTGTCATTCTGAATGTTTTAAAGTTCATTATTTGTCGGCCTATATTAACCGGAATGCATAAATTACACCGTGTACATACCTATATTGTCTTATATCTCTTAAACAGTGTATTAAGATATATCTTTTAATACCACATTGTGAAATATGATGCCCTTAAGTCTTAACAATTTTATCTTTGTATTTTGTTTTTTAAAAAAGACAACAAGGACCGTCTATTAGGTCTAGTTTACAGGTATTTTACAACGCGACGTGGTTTACTTAGTAAAAATTAACAAAGTTCAATTTGGAAATTGAAGAGCTTTAACAATAAATCGGTATTAGTCCTGGTGATGGGGTCGTCTACAGATTAAGGACATGGTAGATTTGGGGTAGAATTTGGATAATCCCTTAGTAGATATTAAATCATTATAAATGTATATTAATGTATAAGAGTTTGTATATGACAGTTTTAACAGTGTGTTATAGATACTTTAAAACAGTTTATAACGCTATGTCAATTCGTTAACAACGCGATTACTGAAATATATAGCTAATGTAATCTCCAGTCTTAAATCTGTCACAAATTATTCTTTTATGTTTATTAACATTCTATTCGGCCTGATATTTTAATGTTTTCATTAAGCTTATAAGCTTAACTGTCAATGATGTTTGTTGTCTCTGACAATATTAAATAGTTCTGTCAATAACTGAACACAATATAATGGTGCATTGCTCCCGTTGTTTTTTGTACATCTTTCAACAATCTTTAAAAACAGTATATCGTAAAATAGTGTCCTGTTAATTAGTGTGATCTATACCCCTAAATGTCGCTCAAGGATTTTGATATATAGGCTATGCAATCATTTGGAGGAGGGACAGGGAATAAGACCGATTATCATTTGAAAATATCCTCGTTTTACCGTAAATTTTCTGATTGTTGCTGGTACTTGGTTTGGCAACAGAACATTCCTGTCACACAACAGGTTTTATCTTTAGATAATTATTGATATATCAGAAGAACGTTGATTCTTATATTTTCAGCTATTTCAGCTAAAGAAATGATACTACCACAGAGACATCCTTAGTTAACATATCTAATTATCTTAACCTTAGATAATACCACAGATAGTATTACAGAGACATCCTTAGTTAACATATCTAATTATCTTAACCTTTGATACTACCACAGATAGTATTACAGAGACATCCTTAGTTAACATATCTAATTATCTTAATCTTTGATACTACCACAGATAGTATTACAGAGACATCCTTAGTTAACATATCTAATTATCTTAACCATTAACTTGCACCTTGTTTTATCATAAATCTTTACTTTGTGACCTAGGCCAGTGCTTGACTCTTGATCAAATATCAAACATATTTCAGGTATGGTGGATTCTGCCCCCAATTTAAATACCAAATTGGACAAACGTTTGGTCGAACAACTCGACGTCTGCTTCAAGACGAAGAAGTGCCAACTTCCGGTCGACTGGTGCTGTCAGAAATCAGACGACCGATAGATCAAGATAACCAAGAAGAGATGAAGAAGGCTGATTTGTTCAGATCTAGGGGCAGAAGTTTGGGCGATCAGAAACTAACAGAGAAAATGGTCCCCGGATACACTGGTATGTTTTCAGTAAACTCATCTCAGGGTGCAGGATTTCTTCAAAATTAGAATATATCTTGGAATGTAATTGATATTATAAAATTACTCAAAGTAAGAATTTATTTGACCACAAAGTGAAGACAAGGCAGGAAACTAGGAAACATTTTCTGACTTAAATATCTGAGATATGTTGTTATGGTAACATTTAAGGAAACGGTTGAATCTAGCTAGGTTTGGATTGGTTTCATGGGATTGCCATACATCGTTTGATAGCGCAGGCTCATATTTATCTAAATAGCACCAATTGAAGGTGCAACAGGCTACTTACTTGATTAGAGATATGCTAGTTTGGTAACATTTAAGGAAATGGTTGAATCTAGCTAGGTTTGGAATTGCCATACACCTTATTTATCTAAATAGTACCAATTGAAAGAAATAGGAGCAAGGGGCGTCTTACTGATATTCCAATTTTACTTTAAGGCTTCATTCCCAAAAGCCAGCATTATTTTGGTAACCGATATGCTGTCAACTGTAGAAATTCTATCGCTGATTTTGAATTTGATCATCAAAAGCACGACCAAAAGCTGCGAGAACTAAAAGTTATTGGTGATGTACAAACTGGGAAATTATTACCATCTCCCGAATTACCCGTAAGTATATTGTACAGGTTAGCCTGGTTTAAACAAATTGATGTCAACCCAATGGACAAGTGAAAAATAATTCACCAGAAATATGGAGCACAAACTCCTTTCAATTCGACTGTCATAATTAACATGCAGAATGGCGTGAATTTAACATTCAGTAACATGCGTCCAAAGTCCTATTTATATTGTATAGTTAAGCTTCATAATGTCCAATAACGTTGTGACTTTGTAATTCATGAAACATACACACAGCACATCGTAGTTATTGCCATTGCCTCTTTCAGCCCATTAAGAGTAGATACGTAACACCATTGAAGAGAGTAACTATTGAACCAGTATCAGCGAGAGTCCCGGGAACAGCTCGTTCTGTACAAGCACCTGTTTCACCCTATCAGTTACCCAATGAAGATCCCATGAAAAACTTTATGTCAGGTTAGTGTTGCACGAAAAATACGAAATTACAAAATCGTTTTTAGAGAATATAAATTGAGAATTTTGTCTTTGAACATCACTGGCCAATTCTCATAAAATCGGTTTCTCCTTTATATATGGAGAACTTTGACATTGGCCTGTGACCTTTTTGACCCTTCTGTTTTCAGGATATACAGGATTTGTACCAAGATCACGTGGTATAATTGGAATGAGTTATCCCATCATAACCCACGAAGCTTTGAACACATTCTCCAATGAAACCTACAGATCTAAGATGTTGAGTCAACAACCAGTCAACCTCCATCAAGAAGAGCAGAAGATTGTGAACATGAAACAGATCTACCCCAAAGAAACTGGTTTGGTTCCTCACTATACTGGTCACATTCCTGGTAGGTATTATTCAAAAGTGATGGGGAATTTTCTTTTAAATTGGGGGTGGGAGAGCTCGTAGGGGAAGCAGATCTTATTATACTGGTCATATACCTGAGATAAGTCATATTAGTGATGGGGGATTTTTATATATAACTGGGGGTCGGTGGGGAAGCAGATCTATCCCAAGAAACTGTCCTGGTTCCTAATTATACTGGTCATATACTTGGTGGGTATTATTAAAAACTGTAAGGGAGGGGCTGGGGCAGTAGTTGTCTATTTGCAGGGTTTGGTAGTGGAGGGGGGCGGTGTAACACTGTAGGTAGTAATAAAAAGATGTGGTGTCTCACTACACCTGGTTGTCATCATCAGAAATTCCCATACTGGATGGTTAGAAAGGGTGCGCATTATATTCGCAATTATACGGTATTGGAAATCTAAATATTTCTTTCTGTATTTCAGGTCAAAAATTCCGATATGGTAACACATTTGGTCATGGAACAGAGGATGCTTTACATCATGCTTTGACACAAAGTTCATAAATTGTTTGTTTATTGTTGGGGAAAATAGTTTTCAGTTTCACAAGGTCTAAAAGCAGCAATGATTACCACAATAATTTCACAATTAACTCAATTAGTGTTATTTGTTGGAAAACACTTAAAACTTGCAAAGTTAATTAGGTAGTTATAAACAGTTTTTAAATTTAATTTATGCCTTAGAGACTAAATCATTTAATATCAATTTACATTGATTTTTTATATTTTTATCTACATATATTTATTTCAAGAATATTAATGCTCAAATTATAGAGGCTTATCTGTGATAATTTGTTAATAAAAATACTGTAATTATATTGTATTGTAAATAGCCTAATCTTGAAAATGCTGTTATAATTTCCTAAATGTTGTTGGAAATTATGATGGTACCTAATTACTTTAACTGCTTTCGGAACTTATTCTCTTAACACTTAACACTCTAAGATAAAAATCAAGATTTATAGAAATCCAGTTATCTGATTGGATAATAAAATCGATTTTAGTGATTGGCCAATCAGATAACTAGAACCCTGTAACCATTTGAAGATTTTGAGATTATTGGTAATAATTTAATACCATAGTTAACAATCAACAGGCACTTAAAAAATTTAATTTATATATTAAAACAATACTTTTCAATATATAAAATTAGATATTGTTTCAAATTCAATTTTATTTTTTCGATCAGCAGAATCAGTCCTGTGTCAACCACCCTCTGATTTGTACCAATTTCGTACCTATTTTAATTAGCAACTGGCAGTATTATGTACATTTATTTTGTATTTATTTGTATAGATTTATTTTTGTATTTATATTGTTATTGTCAAAAGTGTATTTATTATTGTAAATTGTGATCTTTCAGAACTACAAACCATAGCTTGGGTTAAGTCACTGAAAATCTCATCTTTACAATGTCAAACTATTACAACTTCGTACTAATAGCTTGACAGTGTGAAGATGTAAAAATCCCAACACTGGTTTCAATAGAAAGGGTATTACATTGTATAATGTTGGGCCACAATTCTATTTTTATGATACTGTACAGAAAGGATTTAATCAAAAAGATTTTAATTATAACATATTTATTTTGTTATTTTATCTTTTTAAATTCTTTCTGACTACTTTCGCTTTACTCAATAAATTTTTTTTTCATGTAATCAACTTGTATTGTTTTACATAGTTGTGCTGAAGCTCAGCTATTTGGAGAATTTCAGAATTTTGCATTGATGAAGTGGGTGGAATATAAGCCAATTATTTTGCTCCTGATAAAGGGTTAATGAAGATGGACATGTACATGTGCAACAAAGGAACTATTCCTGGACCTATGGGATCTTGGATAAAATGCACAGATACCCACCAAGAAGGCTGAATATGCCACATCTATTCAGAATCTGTTTATTTTCTCAAAAAGAAAGAAATCAAGATGGGGGTAGAGTAGCAGCTGGAGGGGTTGATGAGATTTTTGGTAAAGTTATGGGTGTAGGGAAATACTGATTGGATGTAAAATGTTCCGTTAGATATCCCTCTCCCATTTCGTCATATTGTTGTCGTGTGATACATGATGATTGAAAGGAGGGTGATAAAGCTAATTTTCTGGCCCCTAACCATCCGTCTAAACTAGGATTCTCTGAAATTAAAATGATGTAAAATCAAACTTAAGGATGTATAATACATTTCACTGTACAAAAGTTGGAGTATGCTGTGATTGACTTAGTTAAATATCTACATTATAGTGTAAAAGCAGATTTAAAACTGAATCTTACAACAAATACTCCCCCTGTTGACTTTAATTTCAAAAATAAAACCACTTCACAATATCAATACATGTATAATATATTAAATTTTTTGCATTTGGGAGACTGAACAAAAAGTGATGCTTGACAATACCAAACACCAAGTAAAGACTGTTATTTCAATACACTCCTTGACAGGAACTCCATGCACAGGCATTAAGGTGTATTCATAGAACAAACTAAGCTCTCTTACCTGCTTTGTAGACATGAAAAGTTGATTGAAATGGTCTCATCTCTAATAAATCCTTCTCCAGTCTTTCTTTGAATAATGGCAAATTAGCATTTCCACCAGTTAAAAATACACACTGAAAAGATTGTTGTTATTATTTAAGTGTGAAAAATCAAAACATGTGCTGACAGTATCAATAAGAATTAGTGCTGTTATGGATAGTGACAGTAGAGATAACTAATTTATATGTATCAGTTTCAACAAAAAAGATTGTAATCATTAAAGGGAAACAATCACTATTTTACATCTAATTAAAATATAAAATAACAATCTACTATGTTGACCCAAACATGTAGTGATAGTATAAAACTCAAGAGATATATCATAAAATGAGTAGATTCTTACCTGTACAAGTTTATTTTGATCGTCTGGTTGATATTTCTTCAATACGTAGTCCAGTGTTTCTGAGATTCCAGCCTGTTCTATACCAACCATGGATGGTTGAAACAGTAATTCTGGTACCCTAAAAGATAGCCACACATTATTGGAAACATTGTTAGTAGGAGAATTAAAAATGTAGTAAGTAGTCCAGTGTTATGATGAAGGTTACATTTTTGTCTATATGGCTATGAAATTTTAATAAATCATTTTATTGGAGCTCTTGTCAATATTACATATTTAGTCAAAGCTTTTATTTTCAATATAAGGCAACATTTACATATCTTAAAAAGTTTCAGAAGAAGAAAAAGCAAGCTATAGAGTGAAATCTGTACTTATGTTATAAATAACAGTAAACAAGGGCAAAGTAAACAAATTCTCACCCACCTGATTTTCTCCACAGCTAGATGTAACTGATGATATTCTGCCAGATTAAAATCACTGCCAGGAACACCACCAAAATCTAATTCACGTTGGAATTCTGGATCATGTTCTCGTAACATGTTTTCCAGTTCTTCAAGTTTTTCATCTTCGGCTTCTGAGTCGCTGGTACCCATCTCAGGATTCTATAAGAACAGAAGACAGAACATTCTGATTGTGTATTGAGATTGTGGGCATTCGAACACATTCATGGAGAAATTTATTAATTAACAAACTGAAATACAAGTGAAAGGCACCCATTATAAAACTCAGGGGACTACAGAGTTTCACAATATTATTGGATAAGATATTGCCTGGTTGATATACCATACCAAACAATGATGTTTTCTTCAATTATTTTGTTGTAAATCTATTAAGATTTCCCCTGAATCAAAAGCATCTTACTTGAGGTTTCAATATCAAACACACACTCCAATACTTTATCAAATACATGTACATAGAATACTTACTATTTCCTTATAAACTTCCCAATCAGCATCATTCTGACCAAAGGTATCTTCCTTTTTAGAGGATTCTATAACAGACAAATTTCATTCTAATATGAAAATATATTATTTGTGAGGAATTTTCATCAAGGCATCATTTAAAATTTCTGTGCACATTGTACTTACAATTCCAGAAAAACTAAGCATTTAATGACATCATCATAGCAAATATTATTTACAACTATTGTAGTAGTGACATGACGTTCTAAAAACGCTTAGTTTTAGTCCAATTACAAAAAAACACTAAAAATTCTATTCGTGCAAGCCAATGTTATCCTTGTCCCAGAAAGTTTTGAAAATCTTTACAATCTGTTTAATTTCACCTACTTTGAGCTAACTGTGTGATAATTTTCATTCGTTGTTGTGAAGCGTAGGTTCTTCTCTTTGCCATATCAGCCTTTTTCTTTCTGCGTAGATTTCTAGATGATAGAATTTTCTGTCGTTTATTTCTAACTTCTGTTAACCAGCCCAAAAAATCATTTTTTCTTCTGTCTTCCAGTACTTTTTCTTCTTCCAATTCCTACAAACAATTTAATCTTGATACAATTTCAAAGAACTCAAATTTGTCATTCTCCACTTTATAAACAATTGATTTCTTATTGTAACAGGATGGTTAAGAACAAGTAGCAGTAAGTTTTTTTTTTTTAACATCATTTGAACACTGAAGAGAACTATTTATAAATTTTTTCTTTACTTCAAAACTTATACCAGAAAATAACCACAAGTTACAAAGTATACAGCAGGTACACTCTTCAAACAACATTAATCTCTAATGTTTAACTCCATGGAAGGATATGGATTTTGAAATCTTTTTCATTCAACTTATGGTAAACATAGGATATTTGGAATTGTAAAATTCATAGCAGTTGAAAGAGTCAAAGACAAAGTTTAAAAACAATGTTTGTAATAGAAGACATCTGACACTTTAGCCTGTGTTTTGTTAATAGTTTCATAGAATAGTTCATTACTGTTACTTGGATTTCACTTGCAGTTAAGATTTTTTTTATGAAATGTCAATTATATTAAAAGCACTCTCTCCTCTAGCACAAAACATTCACTATACCTTTTGTCGTTTGGCTCTCTGTAAAGCCTGAGCTCTCACTCTACCCTCTTGAGCACTTTTCAATATTCTCTGTCGTTTTTTAGTTTCTAGCTGGTCTTGTGTTAACTGATCATCTGGTATGTGAAGGAGGTTAAAAATTGGCTTCTTTACCTGTAATTTTTACATTTTACGTTTACATATAAATTTTATAGAGTTCACAATACAAAATCAATATCTGGAAATTTAGACCTTAAATTCAGGGACAGGGGCAGTAAATTTTAGTAGGTATCAGAAGGATGCAATGCTGAATATTATATTGAGCAGCAATAGCAGCTGTGGTGCCTGGCAGGGTGTGCTTAATCTTTTGGATATACACCTGATAGCACCTTTCCTTATGAAATACTTACTCACTTATGATTGGTATACTTCCTCTTGTGTAAGATTCATTAGATGCTACCAATGTATTGTCAATATGTTGTTTTTGAATTTTCAGGTCCATTTAGCAGTTCAGATAGTTAGTAGCTGTATATTGGTATATGTAATATACATAAAATATAAATAGTTAAAATAACCCACCTCTGGTTCTTCAGGTGGTGGTTCCACTCCCAATATTTTAGCCCTAGCTCTCTGTATTCCAATAGTTAGCTTATTGATAGCATCTTGTAGCTCCTCTGCTGTTTTTAAACCAACATTATACAGAGCTTTCTACAATTTAAACATTATATAATAATATCATTACATCATTGCTAGTATGTCATAAAAATGGCAAAAAATGCTAAATGTTTTTAGATAATTGATCCTTTCTGATTACAAACAATATATTTTTGGTGAACATGACGAAAAAACTTTAAGGGAAAGTTACATCATAATAATTGATTAACTTACCGTAAAATTCTGTTTATCACCATCTAGCATCATTTCTTGGACAGATATCATTTCTTTTAACTGATCTTCATCACTTTTTAACTGAGAAAATAAAAACATATAAACATTACAGATCTGATATTACAAAGTTTGGCTCAGAGGATGGTTTGACTCATTGAATTTACAAAACATTTAATTGGTTAAAATATAATTCAAAGTTGAGATTTTTATATAACAAGGAGTTTGATTGGTTGATATAAAATAACAGAGCAAGATGATTGATTGGTGGCATTACAATTTAAAATGTAATTATCTATAAGACAAATCATTTTATTGGTTGAGTCATTATAAAGATGAACATACCTTCTCCAGTCTACGTTTCTGATTAACTTCTTTCAATCTTTTAATCTGTTGTAGTCGTCTTTCTTTCTGTTGTTCTGCTGTCAGCTGACTTCCTCCAGACTGGAACAAATTCAGGTATACAACATCAAAAAAATTTAAGGAAGGAAGGAATGTTGATCTAACCTCTGGTTTATCATGTGACAAGACAAATAACCCGGCATCTTTTCAGATAAAATACTCCAAATTTCTATTTTTTAATTGTAAAAATACCTCAAAACTGTTGTTGCGTCAATTCACCCGTATCTATCAATCAAGTGCCTTAGCAATATACTCTCAATGTTAAAACAATTTAGGGGGCGTGTCATAAAGTTTGTCATAACTTTAAATCAAGCATGATATATTAAACTGAAACTCACTGTAACATAGGGTAGCTGTATTTTATGAACATTCTCAGTGTAATATTCTGTTGATGTCCATTGACTTAATTCTGATAAATAATCTGTTGCTAGGTAACAGTGATCTCGTAATAAACCCTGAAACAACAGAAACAAAATTGTACATCAATCGCCCTAATCAGTAAATTCAACTAACATAACTTGCCAGGCAAGGTAACATACGCCCACAAAGCAGTATTGTTGAATTTTTAAATATAGCAGCATGAATTATAATCTGTCTACATTATTGCAATAACTTGTTCATTGCAAAAGGAATCAACCTTCTCACTCAAATGTTCAATGGATGGACAAGGTTGAAGACAATATAATCCATGTTTCAATGTAATAATGATAAAACATGACATCAAATGAAGATTATGTATTTCAAAGTAGACACATAAAAACCATTCTGATTAAATACTCTACCTCACATCTACTGAGTGTAATAGAAGTAAAATGACCAGGATATTTTAACTGTAATAATCTCTGCATGAAGGTATCGAGATGTATTCCACCAAAGTTCAGTCTACGAGCGTTACAAGCGTGTAGTTTATGATTGTAAACAGGAAGTAAATGGGTTGTCTGATATCCACAGTCGATTATTACTGCATTACTCATGTCTAAATAACAACAGATAAAACATACTTCATCTAGCTATAGACACATATCACTCTCTGAGAGAGAAACATAACATACTTCATCTTAATGCAATAGAAGACATCAGCAATGAAATCATTCATATTGGTATGTGTATTACATGAGATTGGTATGGGGAGCCCTAAGATCTCCATGCAATGCCTTGCACCGATTTTAAATATCAATCCCAACAATTGAACAACGCTAACCCCCCCTTAACCCTAACAAAAATAAAATAATTACCTTTCACTGGTTGATTATAATAAAAACTAAACATTGAATCTACTCCATAGGTTACTTGTGGTATATGATAACATTCAAATAATAGTTCGGACATCTCTGAAACATACATAATAATATAGTTATAGACTGTAAGTTATAATGTACAATAGAATTACTAAATATAATATAAATATCAAATTTTGTAATCTCTATAGAAGATTATAACAAACCCTATCATCCAAAGAACATTGTAACAAACTGTGGTCTCTCTCAATTAAAACATTAATATTATTAATATTGTGGACTGAAAAGGTAGCATTGTAAGTACAAATTATTTGACCATTCTCAACCATTTTAACTGTAGTTGCCTCTACTTTATATGATTAAGTCATATTACAAGGAGTTTAGGGTATATGTTAGGGTGTTATTTTATTCACACTCAGTGTCCAAGAGTTTAAGTCTGAAAAGTCTGTGAGTACTCACGCTGCCTAGAAATATTGGGATTACATGGCGCCTCTGTTAAAACTATCGGATGATCTACTTTACTTTCTGTATTGATACCAAGATGTGTGAAGATATAGTCATAAATCTGTTCCTACAATAGAAAACGCTTCTACTCAATATCGTCATGAATAGATTTTCAATTGACTCTGCATCAAATAATTCATCGCTTATATTTAATTGTAGATGAACTAAATGTCTCATCCTAATACTGAAACGTGATACAGAGAGCACAATTTGATAAGCTGGATAAGTAAATAGTTAGATAACTGTATTTATATGAAATGTAAAATTAACAAGAAAATGAAAGTAAACAAACCTGGACATCATACATGCTGACAATATTTCGATCAAACTGTGTTCTTATATTCCATCTTACCACCTCAATATTACTGATATCATTACCAATCTGTACCTCATTATCCTACAGAGAAACAGAGTTTCACATCTTATTTGTCTTACTTGTACTAACAATCGGAAACGCAATCCAAAACAACATTTCATTAGTAGCTGCTAATAAACTTTTCACATGAGGAAGTATATCAATTATAAGTGAGTAAGTATTTCAAAATGAAAAGATGTATCAGGTGTCTAGAAGAGTAAGCAAACCCTAACTGATGCCACCCCCACCCCCTGAAACATTTAGATGACTTGAATAACTTGTTGAAATAAAAATATCCTCACTTTTTTCCCTCTTTGTTTAGCTGTGATATTTTTGAATATGAAGGCAGGTTTTTCATTGGTTGCCCAACCAACTCGACATTGATAACCACCTAAAGAAGAAAAAAAGAATTCCAGAATTCAGCTCCTAGAAATCTGATGTTAAAAAATATCAAACCAATACATCCTCAAAAATATGGTTGTTGAAAACATTCTGTTGTATTAGAAATTTTGATCAGTTTGTAGATATGGTAGATACCAGTTTCTAACTGTAGAAAACGTTGTTTAAAAGAATAAGTTGAAATTTAGCTACATTTAGTGCCTATGAACATTTAAATGATTTATTAAAACAACGGGAGACAAATTTTGGTCAATGGGAGAGAATGTAAATAAAAGCCATAATTTTCCAAATACACAGAACAGACTAAAGAAAAATGTAAAAAATGTTTAACTTTAAAAATAGACAACAATTTAGCTAACTTTGTTGCTCATGAAAATTTATAAGATTCATTTTAACAGTTTACAAAATAAATAAACACCAATAAATAAATACCATTATCAATAATAAGAGGTGTTTTATCTTGGTTCAGTTTTGGGGTGTATTCTAGAACTGGATCAGGAGTTGTCTTCTCATCATTAAAAGCATAAATATTCTTTTTTTTCGCTCCTTTAGACCTGAAAGATAAATAATAATGTTACAAAACCTTGTATATACACACAAGGTAATTTTCAGACTATCAGATCCGAATGTTTTGAAACATTTATTCCCAAAAATAATCTTTTGAATAGATAGGATTCACTGACTGAAGTACATAATCAGATTGTTCGAAATCCTTCCTCTCAATTATTTTTGTTTTTTTTCACTTGAGAAAGTGCATCCCCGAAAGCATGTTTTTCAGGCAAAAATCTCATAACTAGGTTAGAAATTCGGGTAATCTCAGATATTTCGCCCCCCTCGAACGTAAACCTGGCTCCGCCACTGCTGATATACCAACTCTCGAAAAAATTCAAAAAAACTTTTTAACTTGCATAGACAAATAGGTCGCACGTTGCATTTCAGGGAAATTGAAGTAAGCGCACTATGGATATGAACTAGGATAAGAATGGGAACATATTTTTATTTTCAAATTTGTTTTTACAATATTTCTTCATTTTAGTTCAATTTTATTACAAATTATCTCACATCTTTGTTTTTATTTATTTACAAACCGCTTAACCGGAAATACATGCTAATTGTGTTTTAATAAGAAGAAGAGTGTGCAAAGGGAGGTAAATTGTTAAATTTATTCAAAAAAAACTAAAAGACTACAAAACTTTTGTAAATGTCATTTTTGCCAGTGTTCAAGAGACACAGAAAAAGAAATGAAATGAAATGAAATGAATGGAGTTTTACGTCCTACTCTTCTCCACCTTGTGGGCTAATGAAGACGGGCAACGCCATGCAGGGTGCCATGAGGGAAATTTTGCCAGGACAGCGGCATTAGCCTGCTCTTTTTTCGATTTCCAACTGTCGAGGGATCTTTAACGTGCACAGCCTGTAGCACACGAGGCCTCGGTTTATTGTCCCATCCGAACGACTAGACGCTTTTTTCAGCCATAGAAAAAGAGAGCCTCTTAGATCGAACATTTGTGTCTGAATGGCATCACTAGTAGTAGTCTACATATTAAAGGAATAGTCAGCTTTTGTTATCAATGATGATTAAATAAAAGCATTCTGCAAGTTTTTGATGTTGTTTACCTATTAGTTCGACTTGAAAATCAAATTAACTTTGAAGCCGACTATTCCTTTAATGGGTGTTGGGACAAGACAAGGTTGTGATGTAGGCTAAATAATTCGGGCCTCCTATCTTTTATAGCCAAAATAATATCCCCAAAACTAAGTTATACGGCATAAAAAGGCCTAATTTAACAAGCCTATATTATAGCTACAACATGACATCAAGACTCTTGCCGAAAGACACGGGCTACCAACAGAATCTCTTCCAATCCCAAATTACGCTGACCTATTTTCAGTGATTTTTAACTTTATTGATGCACATGTATATTGTTTCACAAATGAAATGGCAGGAAAACGCCTTTTAACGTCTTAATTTGGCTGATTTGTTTATTTTCTGAAAATTTTATCCTATGATCATTAACGCACTGTTTCGGACTACACTATAGCCACACCCCTTTTTTGATTCGTGTGCATATCGTCTGGTTCTTTTTTCAGGGACCCATTATTTTTCTAAGAGGTTGGTACTACAATATTATTTCTATCGCTTTATTGTACTCACAAAAATAGATTTAAATGATTAAAACGATAATGAAATAATATTTCTAGTGGGTCCATTCTAAAAATTTCACATTTCTAGTGAGAACAGTTTATTTTTAGGCCTACAACAATTACTAGTCCACCTTTTCGCTTGCAACGAGCCTAGATTGAAAACGAGGCGAGGTCAGCAGACGTCGAGAAAACTCAGATGACGGCCGAAAATGGAAGCAGCAAGTACGTGTGGAAGGTGTTATGTGAAAAAGGTCGATTCTGGGGCGCTTTTGGTAAGTATTTCATGAACATTTTAACTAATTTGACCTCACAAAACATGAAAATGAATTGAACAGTTTTTTTGAGAAAATTTGACGTCAAATTTTGCCTGAATAGCATAACACCCCCCCCCCCC